TTCGCACTATAAGAATTAATATACTTGATCTTATCTAGACCCACTTTTTCGAAAAATTTATAGTTTTTCTCAGCTCTCTGAGTTTTCTTACGCAAGCTATCCTGTGATACGTCCCGAAGTTGTAGCCCCAATTCTTGTGATCTTTTCTTGCAGAGGATAGAAAGCTGTTCTGTAATGGTATTATAAAGTATACTTTGTGCCTTCTTTTTACCAATTTTACCACCACCACTTCTAATAATCTCATCAAGCTGATTTCTAAAATCCTTCCAGTAGAGGCACCAACATAGAATTTCTTCCTGGTTAGCTCGATTTGCTTTATCTTCAGCATCGATAGCTTTATCACATAATTGAGCTAGATGTTGTAAAGCTTTATCAATGTTGTCATAGGTAACTTTTCCGAGACGGCCCGTCCCGAAAATTTCAGTCGCATTATTATGGTTTATAGAGGATGAACTATCTGATTCCAAAGGGGGATTAAATAATTTGTGCTTGAGTTCATCCATTCCTTTTTTCTTATGTGATCTGTTACCCCCAGCAACTCTCTTTTGATCATAGATCACTGTATCAGAGGTAGGACACTTGAGTGAACCTAGGTCGACGTTTTCACCAGCTTCGGATATTAAATTATTGCATGGTTGAATAACCGAGTTGAGCTCTTGAGGCATTTTCTCTTCAGGATAGGGTTCTTGGGCTTGAAGTTTCTTTTCCCGATTTCTCTACTTAATTGTGTCGTTAACCTTTTTCTTATGCATCTTATTCAAGAAAGCATCCATTTCCTTGTCTTCCGATAATTTAATCTCAATGTGAATAAGCGATGCAGAATATTGGTGTAAGCCTGCCTCCGGCTGAGATGAAGACCCCGAATTTACATCATAATTTGAAGCATTACCAAATACATCAGGATTTGAAGTATTATTGGGTTCATCAAAATTTGAAGTATTATCAGTTATATCCGATGCCGGCGCATCCTTACTTTGTGAGACTACTTGTTTATGAGTATAGTTAAAATTTGTTTTAGGGGAAATAGGAGATACAGAACATCGACCATCATTTTCCTGGCATATATTGGAACTATTTTCTACCTGTTCAGAAATATTAGAATTTGCCATTCCAGTAGGAGTGGTATTAACAGAAGATTGTTTAATTTCCTTAATTTCATCGCCTAACTTTGCAATATGGATAGTCTTTTCTTTATCATTCTGCTCTAGA